ATTGATTTGGGCTTCCTAGTCGTTGTGAGGCATAGACTTTCAAATGTCTTTGTAACAAATCTCACAACATAAAGAGTCAATTAAGCTTATATCTTGTACCATACAAAACTTAGAGCATGTAGTAGCAATCTTGAAACTCATCCATAAATTGCATGCACCCTTCTTTCAAGAACGAGTCATGGCAAAAGTGACTTACAAGTTATGAGAGATGTGCATGTGGTGAAATTTGTGGACTCCAATGAAATTTTGTGAGTGCTTGAATGTGGATTTAATCAATCACTGAAAATCAAATCATTGTGAGGTTTCCCATAGACTTTCCAAAGTCTATGTTGTAAATCTCACAAAATATGTTGTTGATTAAGTTCATGTACAACATTGTGCAAAATCAAATACTTGTTTGCTTTCAATTATGAGATTCCCGGATTTGGAGAATCATCTACACATACATGCATTCATAGGTTCTTCTTAGATCATGCCCAAGTTGGTCTTAAATCTCCTAGAAGCCATAGGGATAGACCTTTCCTACTCAAGATTTCTAGATCATGCCAAAATTGATCTAGTGATCTCTCCAAAACCTTAGGAAATCAATCTTCCCTCCTCCAATTGAGTCCAAAACATTCATGGAGAGGTGGGGAATCCCCTTTCCAATGTACAATCCATGGAGCGTTCTCGAAGCTCCAAGTGGTAGGGTACATGAATCAATGTAGCTTGGAACTAAATTCTAAGCTATACACCCTTTTGTTGGAACCCACAACCAACAAACCATAGTATTCCTTCAACCCCAAAGTTGTAGGAAATTTATCAAATCACTTATTCATTGGGAGACAAACCAATGAGTAATCCTCTAAATTTAGGATTCAAGTCCTAGTCTTCCTCATTTGCTTAACCCAAAACTGAGCAAATGCTAATCTTCCTTTGAGTACCAAATGCTCAAAGAAACTTCACCATTTACTTAGCCTAAATCAAGTAAGTGGTTCTCCCTCTTTGAACATCAAAATGTTCAAGGAATAATCTCTAACTTACAATTCATAAATTATATTTCATATCTCCTTTCCTACAACCCAAAAGTTGTAGGAAACTATCTCATTCTCTAAAGACTCCAAATTATGAGAATGTGCGTGCCCTCTTTGAACACCAAATGTTCAAAGAATGTTCTTGGATTTGCAACCTCTAAGTTGCATGTTCCTTCCCTCTTTTCTACAACTCAAAAGTTGTAGAAAATCTCATCATTCTCCTAAACCCAAACTAGGAGAATACATTCCCCTCTTTGGACAACAAATGTCCAAAGAACTCTCTTTGATTTGCAATCTCCAATTGCATCTCCCCTTCTCTTCTCTACAAACCAAAATCGTAGAGAATTTTCCCTCCTATAACTCAAAGGTTATAGGAAGATATTTTCATTCTCTTAAATCAAGTTATGAGAATGTATATTTCTCTTTGAACATCAAATGTTCAAAGAATGTTCATGGGATTGTAGCTTCCAAGTTGCGCCCCTTTTCCTCCATTCCTTTCCTCCAACCCAAGTTGGATGGAGGGATTTCGTTATTTGGACACCAAAAAGTCCATCTAACTCTTGATGACTTATAACCAAATTACAAGTCATCCCTCTTTTCCTTCGACTTCAAAAAGTCTAAGGAATCCTCCCAACATTAGCCTAAAAGCCATAAGTTATCTTCTCCCCTCAACTCCAAAGTTGTAGGAAATTCTACCATTCTCCTAAGCCCAAACTAGGAGAGTGCATTTCCCTCTTTGGACAACAAATGTCCAAAGAACTTTCATTGATTTGTAATCTCCAAATTGCATCTCACCTTTTCTTCTCTACAAGCCAAAATTGTAGAGAATTTTCCTCCTCGCCACAACCTAAAAGTTGTGTGAACTTTCATTCTCCTAACCCAAATTTGGTGAATGAACTCCTCTCTTTGGATACCCGAAAGTCTAAAGAATCCTTGATGTGTGGGCCAAAACTACACATCATACTCTTGTGTTTGCTTAAACAAAATTTAGCAAACTAAATGTCCATCATTGAATATAAAAGTTCAACGATAATCCCTCTTGATTTGTAGCCCCAAAGCTACAAATCTTTCCCACTTATTGAACCAAACTCAATAAGTGACTCAACTTTTATTTGCCTAATCCGAATTAGGCAAATGAAACTCAACTCTTTGAATACAAAATTCAAGGAGACTCTTTTTGATTTGTAGCCTCAAAGCTACCTATCTCTCCTTACTTCTATAGGTTCCAAAGACCTTAGAAGATGTAATACCTTAGCCCAAAAGCTATAGGTCCTTTTTCCTCCAACTCCAAAGTTGTAGGGGATCTCTTCTCTCTTTAACTCCAAAAGTTAGAGAGAGTTCTCCTACATTTAGCCTAAAAGCTAAATGTTGGATTCCTATCTTTCTCCTCTTAAGCTTTAAAAGCCAAGGAGATTTCTCCAACATGTAGCCCAAAAGCTACATGTTGGACACCCTTCTTAGACTCAAAATCTAAGTAACCTCTTCCACTCAACCCAAATTGTATGTATTTGATAGAATTAGGATGTGTAATCAAACTTGTGGGGTCTGGATCAAAAGGAGGTGAACCAAACAGATGTACCTGTGAAAGGTGAGGCCTGAGGTTTACTTGGAAGATAGAGCCTGAAGAACCCCACAAGTAGAGTCTGTAAATTTGACTGGGTTGTATAATGGCAGGCAACTCAGCTGCCAAATCTGGTTGTAATAATGTGGACTCTGTTTTCATTCCTTGTACTCTATTCATAAATAAAAGCATGCTTTGATTGTTTACCTGGTTGTGCAATAGAAATGCATCTTTTTCCTAGGTTTCTTTCTTTGCTTTTGCTTGGGTGTGGCTTGGACTGTTTGATGCGGTAGGCTCTTAGGATAAAACTAAGTTTTCTACCCCTTAAAATGTAAGCAACTTAAAATGAAATTAGGCTTCATGATTTTCTAATAAAAGAAAATTTGCATGGTTCTCTTTTAAAGAGCTAAGTTTTCCAAAAACTTAAAATAATCATGCATGGCCCAAATGTGTTGCATATCGAAGGCCCTCACTTAAGGATTAGATAACAAAAATCTTTTTCTTTATGAGTCAGCATATGAATACCCACATAAATAGGCATCTTGGCCTCAAAGCCAAGCTATAAGCCCTAACTTCTAAATAAAAACAACCCTACCACTCTACATTTGCATTGAGACCGAATAACATGGTTTTAAAAGCGATTAGGGGAGTTTAGCTGGTAGTCCCTTCCAGGCGGGACAATAAATCCAGAGGTCGGGAGGGTTATGCCTCTTGTGAGGTGTAGCTTGTTAGTCCCTCTTTGCACTCGTTAGATCTATGTTCGAGGCACTACCTGTCGGTAGTCCTCACCTTAGTCTTAGGGTCCTAGGCATGAGTTGATTCCAAATCACCCTATAAGCCCTCATCCTTCGGGCAATTCCTACAACGTGTTGTTGGAATGTAAGCCCCAATCTTCTAATAAAAATATCAACTTAAATCAAAATTAGGTTGTTAAAATGTAAAGCCCAACATAGGATAGTTTGGGCATCTCTGAGTTTCATCTCAGAATTAAGTGTCCCTACTTCACCTCCTTTGGCTTTCATTCCCAAAATCCAATCCTTAGTTGATCAATTCCTCCTTGAAATTCCTAAAGGCCAAATCCTTTAGCTAAGACTTTTATAGATTTTAAAATAAAGATCAAACTTTAGCCAACATTTAAATGACTTCAAAATGAAGAAAACCACTAGTTTAATCAAAAGTTTTCCCAAATCAAACTTGGGATGTAATTAACCATAGGGGCTTGCCCCTATGGGATGTCTGTACCCCAGAAATAAATAAACCCCGCTCGACCAAACATCGAGTGGGGGAATCTCTGTTAAAATTGTAAATTTTATTATTGAGCCTAGAAAATGGTATTTTTACCCTTCGGGGTAATATATCGTATTCTTATGCCGTGCCCGATTATAAAATATGCAATCCGTTTGAGGATACAAAAATTCTCCAACAAACTGTAATGGAAGAAATCGATGATTTATAACATTGAGGTGATCAAGCTAGGATAGGACCCATCACAAGAGCTCGAGCAAGTGCCACTTGTCAACATAACCAATGACTCATTACACGAGCCCATTCAAGATCAAATAAGTTCATATTGGAAAAACATAATTTTAATTTGGATTTCAAATTTTAAATATCAAAATTTGTATTTTGAATTTAAATTTTTCATTCAATATATTGTATTTGCATTTTAAATCGCCATTGGGACATGCCAAGGCTGGCCAACAATCATTAGAATGGTTAATGCATTAAATGCATGAACTTGAAAATTCCCTCCTTTGAAGTGGCTGGCTCCCTCCCTTCTTTTTCCCTCTTTTGAAAGGGTTACTTTAATGTTTATTTAATGTGTTAAATACAATGAAAAAGAGGAAGGTGCATCTGTGCATCTATGATAGGATTAAGCAAATTAAGATAGACCTATACTTCACCTTAAAAAACTGAAAATGGACTAGCCCAATCAAATTATGTCCTAACATGCAAACTGTACAGATTATCACTAAGGTTTTACCCAAAATGAATTTTGATAAATCAATAAACAAGTTGATTATGATCAATATATTCAATCTATCTTGAAATAATTCTGAATTTGTTGCTGACACCTTTCCATTTATAATAATCCAATACTATGTTGACAACAGCTTCCCATGTACATAAATCTAAAAATATGTGAATAACAGTATTCCATCTATAACTATGCAATAGTCCTTAGATAGTTGCATTACATTTTTCTAGCCTAGTTAATATAAGATTCTATGAATAAATATTGTTTTTTAGATTTAGTTTTTTTGTAGTTATTTATCTATCTTTTTGTATACAACTTTTCATTTTTTTAATAAAGAATAAGGGAATAAAATTCATTCATACAATCTTCTATTTTTTGCTTCTCTTTTCTCATCATAACTTTCGAGAGTTTACAATGTGAAATGGAATTGGTTATCATCATTGTGCAGGAGCGCACAGGAAATCGACCCCACTTGAATGGAATTCTAGGATGAAGATTGCTTTAGGTGCAGCGCGCTGTTTGGCTTACCTACATGAAGATTCAAACCCTTGTGTTATACACAGGGATTTCAAATCCAGTAATGTCCTGCTGGAAAACGATTTTACCCCAAAAGTTTCTGATTTAGGCTTGGCCAGAACAGCTCTGAATGGAGGGAATGAGCACATCTCAACTCATGTTGTTGGAACCTTCGGGTAGTTTGCTTAACAATCATAACCTTTCTTGCTGTTTTTCAAAGATGCTACTCTTAATGAGACAATCTATTTTCATTGACAGTTATGTGGCACCTGAATATGCAATGACTGGGCATCTTCTTGTTAAAAGTGATGTTTATAGTTATGGTGTTGTCCTCCTTGAGCTCCTCACAGGCAGGAAGCCAGTTGATATAATGCGACCTCCTGGGCAGGAAAATCTGGTCACTTGGACTCGCCCACTTCTTGCAAGTAAAGAAGGTATTGAGACTATATTAGATCCATCTCTTGGTTCTGCTGTTCCATTTGACAGCATTACGAAAGTAGCAGCAATTGCTTCCATGTGTGTTGAAGCTGAATTTTCTCAACGTCCATCTATGGGTGAGGTTGTTCAAGCCCTAAAATTGGTCTACCATGAGAGTAATGATCATTTAGGATATGTCAGTTGTAATTATGAAGACTTCACAATATTTCATTCAGAATCTAACGCTGCATCTGGGATAAATTTTCGAGCAGAAAGTGCATTTCCAACTGCATTCAATAATTCATCCAGATTCATAGGATTTGCTTCTGGTTCCTTCCGAAGGCTTTCAAGCTCTGGTCCATTGAGGACTGGTAGGATTTGGAAATTTTGGCCATGGTTCAAGACAAATTCTGCAGGGGGTGTGAGTGAGCATGCGGTTGCAATTGGATATAGCAGAGGAATGAAATCTGGTGAATTTTGGTCGTGACAAAATGTCTCATATGAAATCTCAATACAACTTCCTACAGGAATTGGTATTTTCTGTTGCTTGATCTTTAAGATTCATGAGATCTGATTTAACTGCTCTGCTGCATTTTATTTTATTATGCCAAATGGGTTTTAAACAGGAGCTCCTGAGCTCGGACTTGTCATTTGCACCTTGAATGAATAAGTTGGCGTATATTTATGATCTTACTCTTCCAGTTTTAAGATTAGAAATTGTTCTTGAACTCTTGTAAATCTACTCTTCTACAGAAGTTAAATTTTGTTCTCATACATTTGTTAGAAGTTTTTACTCATCGACGAATTTTATTTTACTTAAACTTTGCCTGGAGATTTTTCTTTTTCCTAAATTATCCTTATCAATAAAGGTCATGAGAAAATTTAAGCATAGCATAATGTTGGCAGTCAAGCGTATAACTTTGCCTATCATTTGGAGTTTTCTCAAGAGCAGCATAGCTTGGTACTGATGATTATGTTGTTAAGGTCTGAATTGGGAGTTTGAAGAGAGAATTGGGGTCAGGATTGTCTAACTAAGGGGCTATTTGATTGGAAGTAAAATAAGTACAAAGTATTCCAAATGTAGGGGTTTCAAAAATATTTGTATTTGGTTGAAAGAAAAAGTAATGCATAGTAAAGTAAAAGTAGTGTAAATTATTTTAGTTTATTTTTGAGATAAACTAACTCGCCTAGTTTTGAGCGAGAATTGTTTACACCGCAAACAAAGCTCGCTTGACCGCCACCTGCCGGCCATCACTATCAACACCCGCCGGCCACTACCATTTGCCTTCGCCACCCACCACCGCGGCCACCTCCCACCCAGACATCGCCGCTGCCGCTTACTGCCTCCCTCTGTCAGTTGCTGGCTATCACCATTGCTGCAACCCATCGCTGGCGGCGGTAGCCGCCACCTACCTCTGGCCGCTGCCAGCTACCACCCGCTGCCAGTCACCGCCACCGTTGGATGCTGCCACCCTCCAGCCGCCACCATCCTTTGACTTTACATTACACTTATTTTACTTCAAACCAAAAAAAAAAAAAAGCATTAACATGCATTTACTTTACACTCATCCAAACAACCCTATAAAATATTCCTTTTACAGTATATTCTATTTTTAGCCAACCAAACAACCCCTAAAACTTAATCATACTTTAAGATTTTCTTTATGATGAGTATAATAAATGTCTAATCAATCAGCTTTTATATTATATTTGTTTTAAAGTAAATCTTATAGATATAATTCTATCATGATTAAATATAAATATGGATAATTTGACTCAAATTTCTCATCCCCCTTCATACTTAATTAATTAATTATTTATCGAACATCTATCTTACTATAATGCTTGGATGGGTCTAGCTTAGATGTCACGAGCCGGCTTGGAAGCTCAAGTTAATGAGACAGGAAGAGACAATCAGACGGATATCATAGTTCTTTCCATAACAATAAATTAAAGGTTCAAATGTAACTGAAGTTTCACGAAATGATTTTCAATCTGATTATACTGTAAAATAGTTCTTACCTATTTTTTCAATTGATCATGTTCTTTTGTTCATGAAACATTTTTGATCAACTATTTAATCAATATGAGATTCACTTGAAAATTTCAATTTAATAATTTTAGGTTTAAATAGCAATGGCGGTTAATTACAGTTTATAGTATAGCAATAAAATATGTATATAAATGTTGACGTATATTTTCACATTGACGAAATTCCAGCCAGGATCGAGTCGACTCGAGCCCGACTATGCTCGATAGTGCTCGACCCACTCAATTAAACGCCGTCGAAGCGAAATCGGTCCCCGATTTGCTGAAATTGAATTTTAATTTCATTAAATTAGCCTCAATTTAATTAAGTTAAATTCAATTTAATTAAGTTAAATTCAATTTAATTAAATTTAAATTGAATCAAATCAAATCAAACCTCGTCTAGCGTCATCGAGCCCAATTCGACGCCGATTTGAGTTTAATTTCATGAAATTAACTTGGTCGGACCCAAATTGACCCAAATTGATCATACTCGAGTTCAATTCGAACTCAATTTTAGCCCAAATCAGTCAAATAGGTCTAGGTTGAGACTCAAAATCAAAATTTAAGATCTAGGGCTGAGATCTCACCTCAAATCCCACCCAAATTTATGTCAAATCTATCAGAGAATCCACTAGAGTGGTAAACTCTTCAATTCACGCAACGAGGGAGCGGCATTGGTCCATTTGAGCGATGCCTTGCTGCTGCTCGTGCTCTCCAAGAGCACGCAAGGGAGAGAGGGGGAGCCCCGTGTCCAGTCCATCCAGAGCGAGAGAAAGAGAGGGAAAGTGGAGAGGGGAGATCGGCTCCCCTTGCTTTCCTCATGTCCAACCCGTCCCAGGCAAAGCGAAAGAGGGTGAGAGAGGGAGGTTCACCCCTTGCGTGCAGCCCGTCCAAGTGAGAGATGTCATGACCCGGCCCGGTGAGCTCATATAGACGAGGCGAGAACGGATGTCAGACGTTCATAACATTTCAATTTTTTTAAAACATGCATTTAACAGTCTAAAAGACTTTAAAAAGGGAATTTAAGCCTGTAAAAATTTTCAAATTTCATTAAACATTGCATAACATTTCATAAGGAGATTCACATATACAATGGTGGTTATAAAAATTCATCATTCATGCTAAACCACCAAAAAAAATATGTAAACTACAACTAAGAAAAAAACATAAGAGGAACATGTCAGCCGATCATTTACGACTGTAGGTGAACCAAGGGCGGTTAGCCATTCTTTGCACCTGGTTCTCCTGAAAACGTTCCAAAACAACTCAATAGGAAACACCGAAACACTAACTCTAACATCTTCACATGCCTTTTAAAAGAAAATTTACATGTATGGTAGAAATGAAATGTCTTGATTGTTTTGCTATCCATGCTAGTTCTTATGTATATGTTACATGTGATATGATAGGTCATATGTCTTATGTATGCCATATGCCTTATGTATGTCAATATCTTATGTATGTCATATGTTTTATGTATGTCAATGTCTTATGTTTGTGCTTGCTTATACTTTATCTTATACAACCGTACCAGAGTACCAGAAGTGTAATAATCAGATACACAAACATCTTTTTGGCCATTCATTTTCCTTTCCTCTTTTTCCCCAAAGGGCCATATTGCTTATAAGAGCCATATTTGTGCTTTTGCACCATATTTGGTACTTCGCCTTCAACATATACAATCATTCAACCATTCTTTTTCATAGAAACATATATAGGTAGTTTAGCATTTTCATATCAAACATATGTATTGAGTATGAGGCAAAATTTCATGAAAAAAACTTCTATGCTTTGATTACTATCACATAATGAGAACTTTAATATGCTTGAGATACTAATTATTTTTGGATTTAAAATAATGTAGAATTTAGGAAAAATATTTTTTTTATCAAAATTTCAATTTCTCTTAATTAGAGACCTCCCATGACCCTTAGAAACAAAAATTGTTAACATGCAAGCTTAGAATTGCAAAATTAGGAAAAGCCCTAATTTACCACTCAAAAAATCTTTAGAATAAAATTCAATTTCTTGTTTAAACTTGCTTGTAAACATCTTCTAACAACATTCTTAAATAAAATCTCATTTTAAAAGAAACCCTAATTTTGAAACCTAAAGTTTTTCTTAAGAAAATTCATTTTTTAGGACTTGGAAACATAGGCATAAACAAGTCATAACACTTTTTTAAAGAAAACCCCATCAAAAGCAAAACCCTAAATATTTGATTCATGAAAATCTAAGGGAAAATAACCAGATTTTCAAGTTTAAAACTTACCTCTCTTCTTCCCTAAGCTTTCTCTTCCACTTCCCTCCAAAAGCCCGCCGGAAACCGCCATCGATCACCGGATTTCGCAAGCACACGTCGCTCTTCTTCTCCTCATCCGCCCGCTCCTTCGTTCGGCCGAGAGAAACACAAGAGAGACCTAAATATTTCGGTCCCTAGGAGGTGTTTTGCCTATATGAGGGAGAGAGCTCACCAAAAGACGCATGTACCCTCACTAACAAAGATTTCCTTAAGAGCTCATGAGGGCAATTTGGGAATAAAATGGCTAAATTTACTTTAACTTCTTCGACGATTTTTAATTCTCAAACCGTGCAAAATTGGGTATACGTTCTTTATATCATTTCGATCGAAATTTCGTGTTGAATTTAATAAAATTTATTGCGTCGAATTTCGTCGACTTTGAAGTTTGGCCTAAATTTGGCGCGGCGCATCGAAATGCGTGCGACGCATCCGATCGACAGTTTTCGTGTTTTACAGGAGAATAGGCCAACAGTGTCCTCTTGCATGTGACCTAGCCAAGAGGGAGGGTTGGCCATGTCTTTTCCTCCTTGCATGCATTTCTTGGAGCCGAAATAGAAAGAAGAAGAGATTTTGCCTTCTCTAGCTGCCGTCTTCTCCTTATTTGGGCTGAAAATGAGTCCTCTCTGGCTTCCATTGCTTTCTCCCTTCAATTGGAGAGCATAAATTTCATCTTGCTGCTGTTGGTGAGCTTCTCTTCTAAAGTCTAGGGCAAAGTCATGCTGAAATCAGCCCTTGCTGCAGCCAAGAGAGGGTAGGAAGCCTCTACTTTCTTTCAAACCATCTCCGGCAACCTTTCGATGGTAAAATCAGCATCCAGGAGCCTTCAAACATCAAGGACAGCAGGAGCCTTCAAACATCAAGGACAGCAGTCCGGAACGCCTTAGACAGCAGATTTGTCTCCTAGAAAGCTGGGACTGCAGCCATGCAGTCTCCGGAGGCTTCCAAACAACGGAAACTGCTGTTTGGAACGTTTGGACAGCAAGTGACAGCCTCCGGGAGCACTCAAACAGCAAAAACTGCTGTCCGGAACAGTTTGGACAGCAAATTCACCCTTCGAAATGCCTTGGACAGCAGGTTGGAGGCTGTTGGAAGCTTCCAAATAGTGCTTGGGGGACTTTGGAGTGCCTTGGACAGCAAAGAAGGCTTCCGGAGCGACTTGGACGACAGCGGCGACTTCTGGAGCGGCTTGGACAGCGATCTTGGAGCTTGGATGGCGGTTTGGACATCACTTGGAACTTGGATTGGAGCGCTAGAAACACCCGGGTGAGGTAAAACCCTAAAACTTATAGGGTCCCCCAAGGCCATTTGATGTGTGGTTGATGTCCCTAAGCCATAGGTCCTTTAGAAACTTAAATTTATTCTTCCCCGAAATCCCATGCTCTCTGTCATCTTTGTAAACTTGGGGAAATCCAGTTGATTTTTGCCAAGTTGCTCTCATGTGAGAGCCAAA